TGAAGGGAGATAAGACACATCTCAGAGGGACCAGAGAAGGGAAGGAAAGAAGCTGAGGAGGGAACAGAGATAAACAAGGTAGAGAGAGGAGATAAGAGGCATCATGGGGCTGAGGGCGAGGCAGAGAAGAGGAAGGCAGGACCAGAGGCTCTGCAGGAGAGTAGGACCCAGGCCCTTTGCTTTCTCTTCTCTCGGGGTATGTTTTTAAAGGGAAAGGGAGCCAAATTCACAGAATACTTTTAAGTGCCAGATCCTGTTTTTCAATCTCTGAGTTTGAATAGATAGCCCCATTGAAGGTAAAGCTAAACTTGAGTCTCTTCAAGAATAGGAGACCCTTCTGGGGGCGCCTGGGTGGCTTAGTCGGTTAAGCGTCCGACTTTCGCTTGGGTCGTGATCTCGCGGTTCGTGGATTCGAGCCCCGCGTCGGGCTCTGTGCTGACTGCCAGCTCAGAGCCTGGAGCCTGTTTCAGTCTGTGACTCCCTCTCTCTCTGACCCTCCCCTGCTCACGCTGTCTCTCTCTCTCTCTCTCCCCTAGAAATAAATTAAAAAAAAAAAAAAAAGAATAGGAGACCCTTCTGGCTTCATGCCCTCCACACTGTGCCACCCATTTCCAGGTTGGTCTAATCAGACAGACTTAGAGAGGGAAGACAGTGAACCTCACTAAAGCAATCGGAGGAAAACCTAAGATGCCCCCAGTCCAACCCCATCCACCTCACACAGGAATAGAGTCATGAAGGGATCACTAAGGCACTTTACATACTTGGAAGGGCCAGAGTGCAGGGGTTGAGGACATGGACTTTGAAGCTGCTCCAGAGTTTGAATCCCAGCTCAACTGCAGACTCGCTACTTTATGAATCTGAACTTTCATTTCCTCACCTGTCAAACAGGGATAAAACTGACAACCCCCTCATGGAGAGATTAAATAATGCATATAAAGTGCTAGGGTAGTGCCTGACATACAGAAAGTGCTCAAATAATATTAGTGATGACTGCCAGCCCTGATATTGGGCTCAAGCACAAAGCTAGGTGCACACACAAAACTACTTATCCATTGGATTGAGGAGGAATCAGGATATTTGATTCCCACTATTGTGGGAACACAGACAGGGGATTTACCTCTCTGTGCTTCCATTTTTCTCCCCTATCAAATGGAGATATCCTCTTCCTCTGACACATAGCACCATAGGTTTGGAGATGCTTAGAAATAAAAATAGGAAACAGCACAGAAATACAGAAGAGGTTCTTTCCCTTACTGTACCATTGCACTTATACCAACCTACCTACTCCCTGCCATACTTATGAAGTTTCACTGCAGCAAAGAATTTTTGCTACAATTTGCTTTCCTCTAGTAGAGCTGAATGTTTCTGCCTCATTCCTCTATTGACTCCTGATACTTGTATGAAAGGTATGGTTCCTCAGCTTCAAGAAGGTGTGTCTGCAGAATTTCTAAACTTTTATCCTTTTTAAATCTCTTCAATCTTTTTGCCTCTCAGATACATTAAGAAGATCCAAATATTTGGAATCATGAAATGCATAATACAGACGGAAGTTGCTCTGGAGACTGTAAGCTGTCTGGGAAGAGGGATTAGGTCTGTCCAGTCCATTACGATATGCCAGCACCCAAAAGGGCCCTTTGGCACATGGCAGACACCCAATATACTTTTGTTGAATGAATGAGTGTGTCAGAAATCAAGGTTGACAAGCCAACAGCCATTCCCAGTTTCTTTCATGCTGGTTGATTGTAAGTTTTGGTTAAATGGTCATGTGTACATCCTGTGAGGGCTGAGTAGTGATTGGTGTACATCGGTCCAGGTAGCTCAGTCCCCTTGGTCAAAGGGTGGACATGTGACCCAGTAAAGTATATGTCCAACAAAATATATGGAAAAGTCTTCTGGTAACTTCTAAGGAAGACTTCCCTTCTTGATAAAGGATTAAGAATCATATTAGGGGAAGAGTCTCATTCTCTTCCACCTCTTTGCTTACTGCTGGGGATCCTTTTGTGTGAGGGCACATTAGAGCCATGACAGCCATCTTGCAACCATGAGGAATGAGCCAAAAGAAGTCACAGAGACTCTAATATCTCAGCCTAAATCCAGATTTCTAGTTATGTGAAATGATTCAAAGTCTTTAAGTCACTACTTTTAAGTATTCTCTTACTTGCAGCTAAATACAATCTTACTAAGATAATGAATAACTGTGCCCTGAGGGGGGTTTCCATTTATTTTTAGGTACAAGAGTGCAGAGTGCAGATACTTCCCTTTTTACCAGGTTCCTTATTCTACAACAAAGGTTTCCACTTAACCAATCTTCCATGTTTCTTTTATAATCTTAGCGTCATCTCCTCATTATCCCCTGGATGTCTCTGAAAGATTTATAGCACCACCTTGACCCCTAGACATTCTTTCCCCGTTAATCTTTTCTGTTTTCTCATTATCACTTTCCACAGACCAAATATTATATCTTGATTTTTAATTACTTTAATGGGCCTCATCCATAGTAATTGGGACACTTAGGTCATTATCTTGTCTCCTCAGATCTTCTTGGACAATTTTATCGATCATTTCTTTGGGCAAAATCATGTGGGGGTACTAGACCCACATAAACTTGTAACTTAGGCCAAAAGTTGTCCTGCTTAATTAGCAACATTACTTTCTGGTGCAAAACTGCCCTGTCTTTAGAATAGTGGCTCATAGTCATTGCGGGGTATTAGCGTTATCCGCTAATAAAGAATAATAAAATAAAAACTCCTGAGAGCCAGGTTTCCCCCGTGCCCATTAAAATCAGGCTCTCAGAGGGGATTTGAACATCAGTAGTTTTTAATACTGAAATTCCCATATGATTTCAATGTGCCATGGACTTTGAAAATCAATGCTTTAGGCCAGTACGTCTCAATCTAATGTTCACACGAATAACATGGAGACCTTGTTGAAATGCAGATTCTGATCCTGTGGCTCTAGGATGGGGACTGACATTCTGCATTTCTAACAAGCTCCCACATGATGACAACAGCACGGCCTGACCCCCACATTCTAAATAACAAGGGTCTAGAATCTAGAGTTAGGACTGGATCTAAACAAATTAAACTCCACTTGGGTCCCACTGCAGTGAAAAAGTCATCACTGCAAGAGAGCCAAGGGCAGGTGACTGAAAGAACTCAAAGGGTGGTTGTTTTCAGCTCTAGCTTAGTTATGGACCTGGGCCGACCGATCATCCCAGTTAGCCCAGGACTGAGGGGGCTCTCAGCAAGCAGGACAAGTTAGTCACCCTAGTTATGGGAGTGTTCTTCAAAGAGCAACAGAACAGCCAAGCTTTGCACTTCCACATTCTGATTCCTCTTCTGGGAGTGTCAGTCACCGTAGGGTCAAGGGTGTGCTGGGAATGATGGTTCAAGGGAAAGAAACGCACGCAGCAAGAATGTAATGTGACTTCCAAAGGGTAAATAATCAGGCAGATCCAGGTGGACCTAGAAAAATCCAAAAACAGGTTTGTGACAAGGCCATAGAGGTAGGTCCAGGGGAGATGGTTTAGATCTGAGCTCTGGCACTAGTTTACTATGTCGCCTGGTATAACTAAGTCCCCCTGTCTGGGCCTCTGTTTCATCAGCTAAAACATGGGAGTTGAGTTGCCAGATGTGTGGGGGTCTTTCCCCCCAGCCCCGCCCTCCACTCCACGTGCAGCGCCTAATAAAGCAAACAACTGCAGAACAGCCTCTTTCCAGCTCAGCTGGAGAGTAAACCCACCTTCCGTTTCATGAGCAGCCGTCTCCAGTGCATCCCTCGACCCTCATAACAGCATCCACATTCATCTTGCTCCATCCAGTACATTTCTCTTCGCTGTCCTCTGATGTTCAGAAAGCTGAGAACGCACAGTGCCTTTTTTTTTTTAACGACTATAACATGTTTACGAATCCAAATGAAATTCTATTTTGAGACCCAGGCTTTTGGTTACAAGTGGCTTCCTCCTTCTGATCCTGCCTCCACCCAGGGAGCTCACTTCTCAACTTTTTGTTTTCTTTAGAGAGACAAAGAGTCTCCCCAGCCACCCATCGCTGGATTCCTGTTAACCTTTCATTAAGCCTGCTGACAGCTTGGCTCCAGCTTTTCATGAGTTAGTTCAACACATTCCCATTTAAATGTGTCCCACCTGGCTTCATTAAGGCTCCTGCCAGGTTCTCCACTTCCAGCCTCCTCTGCAAATGCAAATAAGATTTTGAGTAAATAATATAGGGACAAGGGAAGATTGAGCTATAAAGGGTTTGGGACTGGAGAACCATCAGAGAACCATCAGAACACCCAGGTTGCCATGGATTTGAGCAAACTAAAAGCGATTTGGGACCAACACAAGCCAATACTGCAATTCTGTATGCACAAAGTGTTAAATTAAGGCCCTCGCTGTGAAGCACAGGATAGTGGTTAAGAGTGTGGAGTCCTTCCAGCCTGGTTCAAAGCCCTGCTCTGTCATAGGGATGGTGGTCCGCGTGACCTTGGACAAGTTTCTTCACCTCTCCCTGCTTCTGTTTTCTCAGCTCCAAAAGCAGAAGTAATTTGCCTGTTTCACTGGGCTGCTATGAGAATCCAGTGAGAAATTACCTTGAAACACTTAGTAGAGGACCTAGACCATCGCAAAGGCTGTTTAACGACCGGATGTTATGTCATTTAGCCTAGAAAGGCCAAGGTCCAGGTTGCAGAATTAGGTTGTTCTAAATCCTCTGGGTTTGATTGTGGACCCACCATGTAAACACCAGTTGTCAGAACCATGTCTGCATCAAAGCCCTTCCTTGTGCAAATGGAAAGTCAACACCGATTCCATTCTGTTGCATTTCCCATGCGTGTTTTGTCTCATTTAGATTTTTAAGCTCTGTAAGGGAAGTGATTCTCTCTCCTGGGCCCAAGATACTAGGAAGTTCTTTGTAAGTGGCTACCAATTCATCCTGATTGCACAGAGAGGGAAAGAGAGGAACAACTAGACCAATGATCTCTTCTGACTAGGGAGTCTCAGCATAATTGTATATTTATTAATTCATCATTTAGTAAAACCCACACTCTACCCCCTGGACTTTGGAGTCTCAGACCGGTTGCCTTCTTCTAGCCCATGGCCATGTGTTGCTTGGCCAGGACATTATTGTAAGTTGGAGTGTTAATGCCTTCAAGTGGACACAGACACATTCCACTTTGTAACAGCCCAGGCACTTTCCTTTGCCTCACTTGTCTGTGTCGACTGCCTGTCCTCTGAAGTCCCTGGCCACCCAGTGTCAGGCAGAGCCCAAGTGCTTCCTCTGTACCGAGAGTAGAAGTCGGGAGACAGGAATCTCTGACTTGCATTTAGAAAAGGATATCTCTGCCACAGCATGGAGAGCAAATCCGAGAGGGGAAGGAGTGTAGAGGGGGAGGCAGCTCAGGAGCTGCTATAGGAGTCCAGGGAAATGCCAGCTTAAATGAGGTCAGTGACAACCAACTCTGCCTGGACCTTTTCTTCCTGTTGCAGGAAAGTCCTGACTCTGTGTGACCACACCTGCCACTGCAGAGCCCTCCTTAAGGGAGAATCTTTTCTTAAAACAAACAAACAAACAAAAAAAAAGAGCCAAAATTATGTACGGTTCCACATCACTTCCTGAATTATTAATGAGACTCAGGGCTGCACATACCACACCTGGAGTGGGGCACTGAACCCCGTAAGCTGGGCATAAAGAGAGAGATGCAAATGCACACAAGGCAAAGGCAACTAGGGTAGAGAAGGGACCAGAAATCGTGTTCCAGAAACAAGGCAATTTGGAGAGACATGAAGTTCTCCTTCCAGTATCTGGAGTGCTGCCAGAGAGAAGAGAGATTACACATGTTCTGGGTAAACACAGTAAGTTCAACTAGGACTGACAGGCAGGTGCTATCTGGAGACAGACTTTGTTTTAAATATTTCTGGGAGCTGCCCTGAGATTGAATGATCTCCTTTAGGTGTGGCAGTGAGCTCACCATCACTGAAAGTATTCAAGCATAGTCGGGAAGATCACTTAGCATGATGCTACAGAAGAGGTTAAAACACCCGGCAGGGAAGGTGCGGTCTCTAAAGTCCTTTGCACCTGTGAAATTATGCAATACTGGACTGATGACACCAATGGAATAGATGGGGCTTTAGAAACAAAACATTCTAAGACTTATTTTGACAGTTCCCACATCATCCCCCCCATCTTCAATCCTAAGGAAAAGTGGCCTGTTAGAGTGTGAAAAGACCATCTTCATCTTCTCTTCCATGCTGCATGTCTTCAGAGGTGTTTTTACATTCTCCAAAATTGTCAAGCCTGTAAATAGAAAAGAGAGGCTGAAAATGGGAAACACCAAGACCAGAAATAAATGGATGCTGCTAAATCACAAGGCAACTAACCATGGCTGTTAGAGTTAAAAGAGCTCAAACTCCATCCAGCCCAAGCCTCTCCATTCACAGATGGGAAAACTGAGGCTTCAGGAGACAAAGGGCTTTTGTAAATGTATTCTACTAAGGGAATTAAAAGTTTCTATATTGACAAAATACAAAATTATGATCTAAATGTGTTTATGACCTTGGAAAGTCACCTTCTAAGCCCCAGTTTCCCCACCTGTTAATATTTGTTAACTGATACTTTGGCATTGACACAATTGTTAAAGGAAAGCACAGTCTTTATCAGTTTACACCAAATCTTTTCATTTCTTTCCCAAAAAGCTATAGAACAGGACGTATATTCAAAGTGTCTTTCCAGAGACTCCTCAAACTATCTTTAGAAAATTGTTACAACGATCTAATTGAGCAGAGGAACCAAATTCCAGAAATGATATTCTACATGTTTTCATTTTCCCTAATGCCAGTTCTCTTCTCTGGACATTCCTGTTTAACAGTGTTCTTTTAAAATGAATTGCCCAGAGTTGAACAAAAAATTCTGAACACAGAGAAGAGTGACATAGCACCTTCTCCCTTTTGCATGCCATGCTTCTATTAATGCAACCTGCCTTTGTATTTATATTTCGGGCAGACATAACACAGTGTTAACCAACACAGAGGTTAATGTGAGCTGAATCCCACATCTTTTTCACCTCTAATGCCACATTTCTCCAACCCTGTATTTAATCAGAACACAAGAACAAGTCATTAAACCACTGAGTAGTATCTAATCATTCGTAACAGCTTGTACAATCATTACAACAATCAGTCATGCAAGATGAATTACCTTGTGTGTTTCTGGAAACAATTGGTTTTCACAACTTTCCCTGAAAAGACAAGGCCATGGTATAAGCAGAGTAGCTGTGTTAGGACATGTGAAATACTGGGTTAAGCCATGAGCTGCCTTACCAAGGAGCAGAGGTGGACCAAAGGTGAGAATTTAGGGACTGGTTTAGACAGGGAAATCCATTCCTTTTCCCAGATCTAGTGATTGCCTCTTTGGGTCGCAAGGCAGGGCCCACCAATTACACAGTTGTTCCCATGTGTGGGCCATAATGTTAAGCCTCTTCATTCTTAAGTCATTGCCCACCCAGAATTCAAGCACTCGAGTTTTAAAATACTTCCTTATGAGATATACTCAGAATTTCCAAAACTCTATGAGGACCGATGGCCTCTGCCTTTATGAGGGTGTTGTATGAAGGCCAATGACAGGCTTCCACTGAGTTTCAAATTCCTTTTGAAATTCACTAGGGACAGGTGCTGAAATGTGCAAGTCTTACTACTGCTGCTCGAGCCAGCTGAGATGGTCACCAGTCTTAGCTCCTCATCTACCACCTCGAAACAGTTTCTGTTGATGACTACGGAACAGTTTCCCCCCATTTTACAACAGGACCAGACGCCACACCCTATACTTTGCATGACAACTACAAACCCTGTTTCATGACTCCTTTTTACTGTGTTTCAAAACTACTTTTTTGAAAGTGAGGAGCGGTGTGGCAAGGTCACAGACCAGCTGGAGAATCTAATAACTCCTATGGACGCTGCCTCCTGAAAAATGCAGATACAACATGTAAGTAACTTTGCACATGATTTCCAGGAATTCACTTTCCCCTGAGGTCTCTCTGTGGAACCCAGGCAAGGAAAGTTTGCATTAAGGGGATGAGAAGACCAAGACCCTTCATGGCTTTCTTCCTGGGGCAGTTCCAGAGGAGGAAGCCAGGCCGGGATTTCCTCCACCCCAGACAATGATAATAATAGCACTTTCCACTTAAGGCAGTAATGAGGAAGGAATGAGTTAGGCACATCAAGAGCATAGCATCAGCACTGTCACCAATTAAGCGTCTAGTAAATGAAGGCACTCTTTTTTTCGTTTCCAAAATATAAACTCCATCAGGAAGATGATACATGAAGACTTTAGCATCTCAGGGAGAATGAGTTTCCCTTGACCAGGATAGGGACAAGGATGGACAGAGGACTCTGGGGGCTGGAGACAGGGACAGGAAGTACAGTCTGTCCACTCCCACACCCTCCTGGAGCCTCCAGAGCTCTGAGGCCTCCATCTCCCCTGGGCCTGCCCTCCTTACCTCGAAGGAAAAATGCCACAAGCAACACCAACAGCACAAATCCCACGGAGGGAACAATGATCATTAGCAGGTCAGAGTTGATGAACATTTTTACCTGGTGAGACAAAAAGGAAGTGGTAGACCCAGTTGTTTCTGAACGTCATACTCACACAGCTTCCTTCCCGATCATACCTTCCCTCCACCAGCAGCCTCACTGCCTCTCACTCTATTCTGCCCAGCATGTCTCAAGATTAAGACAAAGCAGCCTGACCCATCAGAATTTAAAAAAAAAAAACAAAAAAACTACAACTCTGAAAACCTAGAGCATTTACCCAGACCCCCACATTTTTCTGTCTTCGACATCAGTCACGTGGGTTGTGGGGCTCAAGGGTCTGAAGATAGGAAAGAGCTGTGCTGTGAGCCCTGTGTTCTCCACGGTCAAGTCTCTTCGTTGGCCGCCACCTAAATCCTTTGAGTTCTGCCCAGTCCTGTGCAGCTCAGGACCTCCACTGACTTAGACCTCAAGAGGCAACAAGATTCAGGAGAAAATGGAACTCAATTTCAACTTTTTGACAGCAGTGGTTCTCAAAGTGTAGCCAAGGGACCCATGAGATCAAAACGATTTTCATGAGACATTATTTGCCATGTTCACTGTCATTCTCTAACCAGATGGAGGGTAGGGTTTCCCAGAGGTTATGTGACAAGTGATAGACTGCTGTCATCATTCCGAGGAAAGGATATGCAAGCAGATAAGAGTATCTCTCTGTCTCCTAGGAAGCCAGACATTAATGAGATTTGCAGAAATGTCAAACGATGCCACTAATGCCATTTCTCTTGCTAATATTTTTTCACTGGGGGGAAATAGAGTTATTTTTCATAAAACATTATTTAGGTCAACAAGTAATGGGTTTGTTATTCTTGCTTTTAAATGAATTGATTAACATTGCTTTAAATTTGTTTTAACTGTTATGAGTGTACAGAAGTCCTGATACCGAATCATTTGAAGAGTTTTGCTCTGCAGGCAGCACCTAGTTCTGGGAGGGGCTCAATGCCACCTCTGCTGCCCAGGCCAACACTCCATTTCCTCACCTGTCCCATTCTCCCACACAGCAGCAAGGAGGGACAGCAATCTCTCTCTGTGGAGGGAGAAGGGAAGGAAGAAAGAAGGGATGGGAGCCTTTCCTTTTCCCTTACAGGTGTCTATACTGCCGACAGTTTTTACTTAAAGCTGCCTGAATCACTTTTGTAATGATAAAAATTAATGAAGGGTACACTCAGCACATAAGAGGTATGCTGGTGGCAAGGGTTGATTCTGCAGGATGTCACTAACCCTGGGCCACACAGGAGGAACACATAATGATTTCCATGTTTTTGTACATTTTTTTTCTTTTTGGTTTTCAAAGCATCTGCACATACAGAAGTAACGATATGAATGTTAGTTCTGCTAAGAGCACAAGTCTACAAATTCCTCAGCTAACTCACAACAGTTACTGCTTAGATAGATCTGCCCTCCCCACTTCATTTCTGCAAACCTATATTGTGGATTTTTTTAAAAATTTTTTAATGTTTTTTTAAAATTTATTTCTGAGAGAGAGAGAGAGAGAGACAGCGTGAGCAGGGTAGGGTCAGAGGAAGAGGGAGACAGAGAATCCAAAGCAGGCTCCAGGCTCTGAGCTGTCGGCACAGAGCCCAACACAGGGCTCAACCCATAGACCGTGAGATCGTGACCTGAGCCGAAGTCGGACGCTTAACTGACTGAGCCACCCAGGCACCTCTATATTGTGGATTTTAAACATAGAAGTCACAGGCTTCAAATACTTCACAAAAATTTTACCTCTTCTGATTCAGCTTCGTTCTGTACAAGCATTGCTGTCTCAGATGCTGGGGAGGAAAAGAGAGGGAAATATTTATGTTTCCTGTGGGGGAATAAAATACCACATCCTGAAATAGGCATTTCAAAGCTCATCTGGAATTTTGGTTGATGTGTTTAATCCTTTCACTCCATCTTTCCTTTTTTGTATAATTTATTTACAACACATTTGTTTTGAGATGGTTTTATCTGATACTCATCTGCTATCCAACATTATCCCATAGGAACATCTCCATTTTATAGATGGGTGGAGCACGGCATTAGGTCAGCAGGAAATTGGGTGTACACTTTCTGTAGATCCCAGCAATGCATTCAGGATTTTTATCCAGCCAAGAAAATGTGTCAACCTATCAGCTAACAAATATCTATTATGCATTTATTATAGGGTGTGTACTATGCTAGCTGGGCCATCAACCTTGTTGATGAAATTTACTACTTAGGGCAGAAAACCAAAATTTTTTAAAACAATTAAAAACAATTCTTTTTATTGTTGAGAGAGACAGAGAATGAGTGGAGGGGTAGGGTGGAAGAGAGGGAGATGCTAAATGCAAAACAGGCTCCAAGCTCTGAGCTGTTAGGACTAAGCCTGCAGGGCTCAAAGTCACAAACTGTGAGATCATGACCTGAGTCAAAGTAGGATGCTTAACCAACTGAGCCACACTGGTGCCCCTCAAAAATCAAATTTAAACAAATAAGGTGAGTCGTTTAAAAAATAATGTTATGATTGTGCAAAATTCTGGGAATAACTAATACAAAGTGTAGGGGCGTATCACCAAGATGGCTGACCTGTTCTGGAGGATCAAAGGCAAGTGTTCTTAAGAACATGAAGTTCTCATGAGACATGGATGTATTTATTTATAACTAATAGTTGAGTTCATCAAAGAAAACATACTGAGAATCTACTAAATGCTAAGTGCTGGTCCAGGAGCTAAGAATGCTAAGATGAACACGGCATGACCCACTACCATGAAATTTATAATACATCAGAGAAGGAAGACCAGCAGCCTCACAGGCCAAGGGTAATGATGGAGTGTAAAGTTTGCTGGGGAGGGCAGGTAGGGGGAGAGGCATGTGGCCTAACATCCTAGTTCAGTGAGAGCTGCTAGAATTAAGCTCCATGATGACAGTGTCCTTCTCTGTCTGCTCCACGATAGGACCCTAACACTGCCTGGCACACACTTGGTGCTCAGTAAGTGTCTGTTGAATGAATAATACCTGAACTGAGTTAAGGATGTGTTAAGAATTAGTGAAGAAAGATAGTAAAGGCCCTTTAGGTAGAGCAGCATCAGCAAAGCCATGAAGCATGGAACAGTGTGGTTCCAAGTGGAATGGCAAGCAGCTGTGAAGGTAGAAAATGAGGAATGGGAAGTAGCAGGGGATGACACAGAGATGGGCAGGAACCAGTCATGCTGGTAAGTCTCTGTTTAATTCTGTAAGCAGTGGGGAACTACAGAAACATCTTAAGCATGTTATGGTGTTGTTAAAAGAATAAGGAAATAACCAGGATGAGATGATCAATTATTATCTCATCCCAGGTCTGAAATTCAGAGCGAGTAGAAGTGAAGGGAGAGAGAGAAACAGATTCCAGAAATGCTTAGCAGGGAGATCAAGAGGAAGTGAACATTGAACATGAGGGTGAGAAAGAAACAAGTCTTAGATAATTCGCAGATTCCTTCTTGAGACTCTGGGCCATTGCCCGACCGTCTGCTAAGCCTGAGCACAGAAGAAGCAGAGCAGAAGTGTCCATCTTGGGGGAAACAGGTGAGCTCAAATTGATGTCATTGAGGAAGGCGCCTGAGGGACACACACAAACAACACTGGCCTAACACACAGTTGGCAGATTCAAATCTGAATAAAACTCAGGGAAAGGTTGGAGTTGCAGATACTTATGTGGGAGCCATCAGTCTCCAAGGAGCAGTTAAAATCCTCAGAGCATATAAGAAATCCAAGGGCTGTATGTCCAAAGAGAGAAGAGCAGGAATCCTAAGAAATGCCAGTGCTTAAAAGGTGGGTAGAAAAGGTAAGGGAGAAGGAAGCAGAAGAAACAAAATGCGAACAGTGTCAAGGAATCCAGGCCAGGAGAAAATGCCGAGGAACGACGCAAAATCACATGTGCAATAAAACCTGCCGATGGAAGCAGAACATAAAGTCACACATAGACGAGGCCTGAATATAATAAAAAGCTAGGCTGATAATTACCGAAATTGATCATTGTTTCTCCCAGGCTTCCTTGCACTCAAGGCATAAGAAAAAAATACAATGGGTTTTCTAAGGCTCATAATTTGGTACAAGAGAGTTTATTTGTTCAACAGGGAAAGTGACCTGTTGAATGGCTAGGAGCATAGAACTCTGAGGGGAAAATTCAGCATGTTTTCATATCCTACAACTCAGTTATTGTTGTTTTTGTCTCTGCTATTATCCCCTAGAGCTGGAAACTGCAGGTAGGAATTCAAAACTCTACCCCTGTTTTGTGAAAATCCTATAGTATTACCATTATTTGTGATGGATAAGCTGGAAATTGAAACCATCGAAGAGAAAAGCCAGCCTAGGTCAGTTCTGTCCCAGCTGATCTGTATTTTAAATTGGAACTGTCTAATGGGAGAGATGTTTTGCAAACACAAACACTGCCGCGTGATACTGGTCTCCTCTGTCTCCTCTTCCTCCTCCTCCTTCTTCTTCTTCTTCATAAAATGCCAAAAGCCCCAGTGGAGTCACTCCAAATCCATAGTGTTAGATAAACACCGAATAACAATAAGAAACACAAATGGCTGGTGACGTTTGTTCTCCATGAAACACAGCAATGCTAACAGCTAGGGGTTGGGGTAGGCAAGTGAAGACTACATGCTTCTATGTTTTCTGTGCTTCCTTGGTCCTTCCACTCTCAAGAGCCTGACTTCGTACACAAGCACATTCAGGCAAAGGCAGGAAGCCCCCAGAACTTGCAAGGAAAGCAACTCTGTGAGAGGGGAACTGTGACAGACTGAGTACAGCCTTCCTCAAAGTTATGTGTACTCAGAACCTCAGACTGTGACCTTTTCGAAATAGGGCATCTTTGCAGATGTAATTAGTTTAAGGATAGTGAGATGAAACCATCCTGGATTTAGGATAGGCCTTAAATCCAATGGCAGGTGTCCTTATAAGGAGAGAAGACATAGAGAGACACACGAGGAAGGACATGGAAAGATGGGCAGAGACTGAAGGCACGTGGCTTCAAGCCAAGGAGTCTCTGAGGCGCCAGAAGCTGGAAGAGACGAGGAGGGATCTTCCCTTGGAAACTTCAGAGGGAACATGGCCCTGCTGACACCTCAATTTTAGGACCTCTGACCTCTGACAATAAATTCATGTTGTTCTCTGGCGCTACATTTCTGGTATATTTTCACAGCATCCTTGGGAGAGTAATACAGAGACACAGTGATAAGTGGCTCTGGGGATGGGCACAGGGAGGACAGGAAGACTGACCTTCACTTAAAATGTTTTTGTACACTTTGTACCTTCATCTTACATGTGTGGCTATCTACCTAAAAGAAATTTATTAACTAGTAATAATAACAACAAAAGAATCTTCAACTCAACCACACTTTTCTCAGGTCTATGGACTCACCGATACGTCTGATTAATATTAGATTTCTCTACAGGGTGAGAATGCGTTCCTGTTTTTGAAAATACCAAATATGGACCCTCTTGGCAGTGTTCTCACTGTAAATTAGCAGACTGGCTTACTGGTTTAATTTTAGGCTCTTGAAGTCATGGTATGCATGGGCACTCTGGCCAAATAGAATTCCTGTGAAACTCTACCCCAGACCTTAGAGCACTGTGAGAATGCACCTGGGCACCCTCCACACTGCACTGTCATTGCTGAGTATGTATCTACCAAAGGTTTCCTGGCGTGTGACCTTGGGCATCATATTTCCTCTCTCTTCCTCTCTCTGAGCCACAGTTTATTCATCCAAAAATGCTGATATTGCCCCAACCAGTCTCCTATGTCCTTCTTAGCCTTTAAATTTCTGGATGGCTTTTTACAAGGAATTGGAATGACCTGAGAAAATGATCATTTTTCACAGTAATGTTTTTAAAAGGGTGTAAAGCCATGCTTAGTATAGAAAGTTAGTGTGTAAATACTTATGAACATACAAACACATGCATGCCTCTTGCTCCACAAGGAAACCTAAAACGAAATACTGAAAGACTATATACATCTGACGTTGAGTGGAAATATTATAGGCAATTCAAAAGTTTTTAATTAGTACTTTTTTATAATTTCTAAACTTTCTCAAATGAGAAAGTTTTAACTGTAAAAACATATATCATGTGTTAATTACTGGAAGCTCTCCAAGATGCCTTAGTCAGGAACAAACTTTCAAGGTGTGTATCATTTCTCTGAAGCACTGATACAGGGACCTTCTAAGTGAAACTTTGAAAATCACTGTTAGAAATGCATTAACACACAGCTAAAGAAGAGCTGGGTGATGCTATTAGTAAAAGACACTCTCCCCCCGCCCCTTCCCCCAGATACTAGAACTGGTCTACAAAGATGTTCAGGATACACACACACACACACACACACACACACACACATACACACACACATAATACATATAAGTCTCTAGAAAGAGAATATAGACATATGTACAGAGACTTTTCTGTATATCAAAAATGGTTTGTTTGCTTTTAGATAATGAATGCATGTAAAAACTGGTGAAATCCAAGTAGAGTCTGTAAACTTGTTAATTGCATCATGCCAATGTCAATTTCCTACTCTGACTGAGTGCTATAGTTATGAAAGATGTTTGTGGGAAACTAGAGAAACATAGATTTCTCTGTACTATTTTTGCAAGTTTGTGTTGAGTCTAAAACTGTTTCAAAATAAAAAGTTTTTTAAAAGTGTTTTAAATATCAGTATTTCATATGGTTCAAACTAAGACAAGCATGATACATAGTGGCTTTGTGATAAAGATTTATTGAAAAAAATGTTGAATACATTTTAAAGTATGTTGAAAAGTGATTTTGTAAA